CTTTCGACACTACCACCGCCAAACAGGAGCCTTCCCACACAACTTACAGGCTACCAGGGCGTCCTGATTGGCTTGGTCGGCAAGTGGATCTCCCCGCCCAGTAACAGAGTACCTTTCGCTCCGCTCCAGCCCTGAGCCTGCGGCAAAGGTGGGCTAGGTCCCCTGTTCAAGCGCTACATACACCACCACCACAGTACCACACTCCCTGGCCTGAACGGTTCCCGCCTTGGAGCTTGATTCGCGGGCGCGACGCGGCGCAAACCTCATCACAGCTTCAACTTCTTGAAGTGCTGGAGCGACGCCCAATGCGCCTCCAACCGACGATTGCTCAGGTAGCTCGTCTGCGCACCATGTTCTAGGCACACACTCTCTCGAATTGGCCTCCTACCTCCTCCCGTCGAGTTTGATTCTCTTCGGGACTCTCTTCAGGACTTCTCTTACAGGACTTCTCTTCAGGACTTCATTTTCTTCTATTCGCGCCCCTCCACGTCTTCGTGGCTCGCGCTCTTCTGCACCCAACCTTATCCGACTAGGAAACTGCCTCTCTTTGCGCTCTCCTCTGCGCCCTGCTTTGTCGACACTCTTTCCCTGGCGACCTCTTTTCCATTGCTTCGCTATGCCGCGAACGAAGCAAAGCGCGCCGGCACTAAGTGCCCCGCCTAAAACCACCATTGCGGTCGATGTGCTCACCAAGTCGCCGTACGTACCAAACTCGATTCCGGTGCCCAAACCCAGCATCGGTCTTTCCGACGACAGCACTGGCTATATTATCAGCAAGGCCGTATTCCCTTCAAACCGGGTCAAGGACCAGCTGATCCCCTGGTACCACATTGGCTTCACCGACGACCCCGCGCTCCGGGCCTGGATTCGAAGCGACGAAGTGCTGGAATACGTCTCGCCCTACCAGCTGGAGCACTGGGAGTACGAAAACTTCAAGGAGAGACAGCAGGAGGCAGCCGGGGAGAGGGAAAAGGCGTCCCGGGGGAAGCAGAAGCCGGGCCCTAAACCAAAGGGTCGCCCAGTCCGGATGGCCAAGAAGCCGGCACCCGACGCCGCGCCACCCACCGCGCCGTCAGAAGTGCCGTCCCTGTCGACGCCACAGAAGCAAAGGCTCAACTCTAAGAGAAGGAAGAGCCAGACGGTGGAGGGCGGAGAGTCAGCCAGCAACCAAGGGTCCGACGCCCCTGTTCGAAAGCGGCAACGAAACTCGGAGATTCGGGACTCGGAGGTAGATGATGATGACATGATGGTGGGAGAGCATCCAATGTCGGCGTCCATTCATACCCGCGACGCTTCAGCCCTTGGACCAGCTGGGCGTATGCCTGCCCCCGCATCGCCCTTTGGAGCCTGGCCCGGTCCCCCTTCGGCTGCCACAGCCGGTGAGAGCAGCGAGGCCCCCAAGAACCCAAGCAAGCGCAAGCAAGCGCCGAAGGCCCCGACGGTGAGCCCGTACTTGCCAGCCCCTCCCGCGAAGCCCAAGCGTTCTGTGGGCCCGACAGTGAGCCCTTACTTCCCTGCTCCTGCCCCCAAGCCTTCTGCTGGCCCAACAGTGAGCCCGTACTTCCCTACTCCTCCTCCCCTTAGGCCTTCTGTAGGCCCGACAGTGAGCCCGTACTTGCCTGCTCCTGCTTTCACGGTGCCGTCTTTCTCAACTCCGGCCAAGCCTGGTAGTTCCAGCACTCCTCTAGTCCCAGCTTCGAGCCAGCGCAAAGGATCCTCGACCAAGGCGAGCAAGGCTGCAAAGCCAAAGGTGGAGCCCCAGGGTGATGACGACGGCGACGTTGGCGACGACGTTTGGGTGGTTCAGGAGCTGCTCGCCGATCGACGAATGACAGAAAAGGGCGTCAGGGTGCACAAGTATTTGGTCCAGTGGGAGGGGGACTGGCCCGAGGACCAGAATCCAACATGGGAGCCGGCCGAGAACATCGACGCCGGCGTCATCCGTGCATACAACAAAAAGAAGCGAGCTGGCAAACTCAAGCCGGTCGATGCCAAGCATTTGGCGAAGCTGAACCCGTTCGCCTATACCAAGTACACCAGCGTGACTGAGGCCTTCGAGGGAGACGTCCATCAACCTAAGAGTTTGTACAAGGGCGTGATCGAGGAGGATTCGGATGAGCCTGACGAGGAAACGCTGCTTGTAGCTAAGGGCTACACGCCTAGCAAGTCGTTTGCGAGCTTCCCCTCCTTTTGACAAGCAGTTGGCGCAATACAAGGACCATTAGGACGCAAGCCCATTTTTGGGCGATTTCACCACACTTACATACACGTACACGCCTAGCAGGTCCTTTGCGAGCTTCCCATTCCTTGACAAGAAGTTGGCGCAGTCCAAGAAGAATCTTTAGGGCGCAAGCCCGTTTTTGAGGGGAGGGGGTTCACTACTCGTACATAGACGTACATTCGCATATACTTATATACCCCATACGTACATAGGCACAAGTATAGTAGAAAGCTCGCCGCAGTACATAATCACAGCGAATTTTAATGGCATTCACTGGCTAGTGATGAACGATTATGAGTGATACGTTGAAACCGTCGGGTGACTCCAGAATGGCTTCTTGGGGGACTAACTCACATGTGACAAATATTACGTCTAACAACTGCCAGCTCGCTTGAGTGTGTTAACAACGTTGAACATTGAAGGTCTTTTCCACCTTGTGTGAGGCTATGTTGAGATTTACGGCAATTGGGGCTCTCCATGCAATCCTTGCACGCTTGTTACTGTCTTCCTAGTTCACCAGATTGAGTTGTGAGCATCATAAGAAACCTTTATGGCTCAATATGAGACGTCTTGATAGTTTACTCTGACTAGATTCATTATCATGAACACTCCCTAACGTAAATCTCCGGTTGGGACAAAGCCGACCTCGAACTCACACCCGACAACACTGCGTCGGCTTACCATTTCCTTCCATTTGCAAGAATGTTCATAGTCGGTCACAGTGAACAGATAATGTAATGGCAACTCTCGACACCATCTTACATTATGTGTTGTATATTCTTCTAATTTGCCGTCAACAGCCCTCATGGCGGTTATGCTTACTGCCATCACGAACAGATAATCACTGATCACCTCGCCGCCAACCAGTTGTACCCGCCATATCTCCATTCCTGGTGTATCCTCCATGTATCTACAAAGCACCGCGAGAGCCTGTGACGCAAAGGTTAGAGCACTGCCAGGGCATGTTGCGAATCTACGTATGCTAAAGTCCGTGCCTTACCTACCCAACATGACGTCTGCTGGATGAGCTTGCAGACCTCTCACGAACCGAGTGTTTATGTTCACAGTCCATCCTGGATGGGCCAGAACAGAGCTACTCGTAAATCCGGAACATGCTGTCATAGCTTACCTACTTACCTACTTAGCTTCAGGTTTGGAGAGGGAGCCAGTCGTGACTCACTAAAGTTTACAAAGAGAAAGCTTAACCTCGTGTAGAGGGATTGCCAGATCGAGTGGGTGGGGAGGCCAGTTTAAGTTTCTTTGAAGGCTTTACCTAGGTTATCCGTACCCGAGTACATAAGGCATCTCTGGAGTCGAGCTGCCAAGTTGAACTCAGCGGGCGGGGTGAGGGGGTTGAGCCCCGTTCGAGAGGAGTTGGCGCAGCGGTATTCCTTGCCCAACATTGTCAACTATGAAAAACCTGGCCAGTTTTTCGTATGGTCCCTGTTCGGTCTATTTAGATTAAGACTTCAGTTTTTCTCTTTTCCTTTTTAGACAAAAAAGCTCGGTTTTCTTGACGTTCTTTTCCGTTTGGAGGGCTTTGGAAGAGAAATTATTCCGTTCATACTCCTTCACTTCTTCCGGGAAGTCGAAGGAGGGGGACACTTCAACAATGGGTGGTTGAGAATGATTCTCAAAAACCATGCTACTTATTCCAGGCCCGCCTCCCTAAGCCTGGCCTTGTCTTCGACTAGATATGACAGGGAAGACGAATTTATCTGTGAAGACAACTTCACATTTCAAGTCTTAAACGCGTATATGACAACAATGGCATGCAAGTAGTACCATAATGGCAAAGGGTAATATCTAACCATAAGAAGGTGTCTCAACCGCGATCTAGAAGGCAAAACTGCAAATATCAACATACATATATTTCATTACCCTTTTGAATCTCATAATCATAACCTTTTGGACTCTCCAAGGACTTGAAGTTGAATTCACAACGTCATATACCCTTGGAGTTGGGGTTTGTTTCCTTTATGCTGAACACAACTTATGGAACTTCGCGATCCACCAAGTCTTGTTTAAAAAAAACCCCGTTTTAGGGTCCTTCTTCACACAATTTTCACTTAAGCCCGTTTCATCAACATCACAACTGGCCCATTTCCCACTAAAGTGGGTGTTTTCCCCTGGGAACAACCATCTCGCCGATAGGAGTAAGCCGGCCCACGGCTGGACAAGACAAGGAGGGCACAGTACCGAGCCACCAACCTAAGAGTTTGCACAATGTGTCTCTATGGAGTGCCTCAATTGTAACAGCTCATGTGGAAGAACTGGCCAGTTGACTTTGGAGCGACAAACTTGGGGGAAGTAGAGACGCTTACACAAAAGTCTGGAAGGGTTTGCGTTACTTGCATGTCAATGGTCGAACTGGACCCCGCTCACGGACGGAGAGAAATATCGTAATCTCATGCGGCATAGTTTTGTAGTGTCGTTACTCACGAATGAAAATGATTTGAGAACGGAAGTCAAGTCCCGCCCGGCGTCTTCAAAACGAACTCTGTGTGATGAAAGATGAGAAATGAACAATAAGAAAAAAAAGAAGAAGAAAAAGAAGAAGAAAAAGAAGAAGAAAAAGAAGAAGAAAAAGAAGAAGAAAAAGAAGAAAAAAAGTTTTCCTTCACAAGCGAGTGGGAAAAATAAGATAGCAACGGCTCTTGTGTATTGAGAGACTCAAAAAGTGATTAGAATATTGTTGCTTTGGCATTGTCAAGACGAAAATTTTTCCATGTGTAACAAAAAGGCAAGGGGGGAAAAGCCTAAAAATATGGGTTTTTGTCGACACAGATCGGATTTGAACCGATGCCTCCGAAGAGATATGATTTCGAGTCATACGCATTAGACCGCTCTGCCACTGTGCCTTAGATTACTAATCGATGCGAACAAACACCTAACTGCGGGACATATGCGGAGTTGCGCCTGCCCCAACAACGGCGGTGGATGATGAACGCGCAAACTTTCTTCTGGGGTCCACAGACTCCACCACCGATACAACACTCTTCATGAAGATGAGGTGTGCACAATGCTACTGAGCAATCGAGCAATTATCATTGGGAAGGTTCATTACCTATTTACATACGGACTAAAATTTGGCTTGATTTGGCGTGAGAAATCTATTGACCAAGTCTTTTGAAGTGCGAAGCTGTGTCTTTTTTGATGAAACGACCAAATTGCTCTTTTGTTGAGAGTTCTTCGCAATAATGACTTCAAAGCTCCGTGGATGTTAGTGTCTCATACGAGGCTCTGTGAAGAGAAGCGGAATCATATTGATCGAACAACACCCGCACATTTACCATTCCACTATGAACCAGAATCATCATACCAACATCATCGTGCATGCTTACAGGGCTGTGCACAATCTGTGTACCCTGCTACGTCTGCGGTCTGCTGACCTCCCTTATTGGGTCAATGAAGGTTCTCTGTCCAACACTCAACTCTTTCGTTTCCTTTGTGCCAGTTTTCACTCTTCCGGGGTGACACTTTTCCTATCTTTCCGTCGTACGGAACACGCTGCGCTTCCGCCTTTGTGGCATGTTATCTTGCCTCACATCAGGATATTTTGGGGAGGACGAGATAAGGAAAGGATGGTACCGAGTGACATATAAACGGGTTTTAACAAATGGAAGTAGATATGATTGCAATAGAGCTAACATGATTTGCCATTGTCGTTTTTGAACGACAAAAGCCGGGTGCCTTACCCGTCGGGCGCGAGTCGGGCGTCTTATTCACTGCTCTTTTATCACGCTTGGAGCAGATAGAGTGGAATAAAGATCACGTGAAAAATGAGCAGCGGGAGTTGAGCATGAAGGTGGAGATCAGCAAGAGGCAGTGAGAGAAAATTGTGTAACAGTACAAAAGGCGGTGCAGTCTTATCAGTTAATGTTCCATCGCACAGCAGGAAAAAAAAAAGCTGAGCGACGACGAAGACGTCGGCGTTCTGCCTTGCCAGTGTTGCATTCATGCATGCAGGCATCCGTATGTCTTTTTAACATCTCCACTCAACGGCAATCGTCATTCTCATGTCATGAGTATTAAACCAATGAACGGTGGGCCGGCCTTCAGTTGCTTCGTTAAAATATCCGTCCGTACCCAATATAAAGGCTTGTACTCGTTGTTCGCCACGGTCCCCTGCATATCCGCGTATGATCATGTTTTTGCTGTCTTGGCTGTGCTTGACCCCCACCTAAGGGCTGGACTTGAAATAAGAAAAATGCACGCGATAGCCGCCACGTAGCTATGGATGTCTCATCCTGAGAAAGAGAAAGAAAAAAAAAAGGATTGTACGAAAAACACCAGTGGGGCTTGTTTCTCACCACACCTCTATTTTTTTTCTCCTCGCATGTCGTACATGCACTGAAGCAGGAAGCAAGGGGGTGTTCTAAGACAAACGTGGACATATGTTTTTGGTCTCTCTCCGATCCGCCGGGTAGTCCGGAGTTTGGTTTGTTGAGGCTGACTGGCTTGCTGGCTGACGTCCGAATCCATTAATTCCCGCATATAATAGTCGGGGAGCCTGAAAGTAGTGTGCGTGCTATGCTTGGTATGGGAAATGCGGGCGGTGAGACCCAGCAGCAGCAGCCCAACAGATGTCATGCAAGGAGCAGAGAGTAAGGCAACGAGGCCGATGAGGGATCATCTACCACACCAAACAGAGAGCGTATTCGACGATGGACTGCATGGACAGCATGGGCCAATGAAGATTCAGAACGTCTATTGTGCAGCACGAATGAAGGAAGCGGTGAGTGGGAGGGGTATGCAGTGGGGGAAGAGAACAACGAGTGGCCCGCTTCGTCTGTCTGGTATGACAATTGCAGTTCCTGATCGTGGTACGATCTCTGAATGTCTGATCTTACCCAAGTTTTGGCCTTCTTGCCGAGCTCCGAAAAAGAAAACCCCACGCGTCAGTCCCGAGTGTTACGCACGTCGAACGGCCATGGGCTTTCGATATGGTGGACCAAAAGTGGCTTCAGGCATGACGATGAGACGACCAAGCAATAGACGTGGGTGTACAACGCCCCGTGGAAGCGCGGATTCCTTCCCGTTTCCCGAGTTCTGCATGTTTCCTGCAGGCGGAAGCAAGGATGGTCGGGCCGGGGCGCAAGGGCGACCCAAAAGGGCGTGGGGGTGGCCTCGTGGTTGAGGGAGATTGGAGCCCAAAGAAAGGGGGGTTGACGAGGGGTCGCAGGGCTGCCTCTCAACCAAGATCTGCGAGCAGAGCCCGATGGCATTGTGCAGTACCCTAGAGAAGCTAGACGGGAAATAAATTTGGTTGATATGAGATTGATGGGACAGATAGAGTTCTGAGGAGGCCATGTTGAAATGTGACTGGGCCAAATTGCTGCAGACAGCAGCCCGAAACCGGGACTTTCAGATTGCACCAGCCCAAACCTCATGATCTCATGATCTCACGATATGCGGGGGGCCGGGGGAAGCCCGTGGCGTTTAGGTGGCGGCGGAGCTTAGCCTGCCGGGCAAACGGCTTACGAGCTTCCGCTCTTGTCATGAGAGAGTCGTTGGTGTTCCGGGAAATTCGTGCTTCCTTTTTCGTGCAAACAAGTTGGTGGTAGATAAGGTGAATAAGCGTACATGTTTAGCCAGCACCGACCATTTCCTCACCGGAGACAGTACCACGTGCCGGAACACAGTGAGGAGGGAGACGAGGCAAACAGCGGTTTGCACAGCGTCCACTAGGTCTGAGGTGATATCCGAATCAGGCAAGATTATCCAGAACAGCCTCGCTGTCTGGCCATGCTGTGTTACCAGAGAAGGTCAGTTCTGGTTGGAAGACGTTTGCTGTGTGTAAGCAACCTACTCACAATGATAGAACTTACCCTGATAAGGTTTTGAGGTGTAGTGATGTCTGAGACAACAGTGCGCGTTAGCGTCCTTTGAGTTCGAACCCGTCCCGAGGAGATGCTCGCTCTCGACTTTGTGAGACGGCGGGGTCGAATCGGAACACGACCCGTCGCTGTTTGATTTTCATTCGAGTACGCCATGGACCACACCGGCGAGGGCCAGAGAATCCAAGCCTTGCACGCCCGAGGAATATGACTCACGGGGACAAACCGGCATGAGCTGGTCTGCCCGGGCAGGGTTCAACTCCACGACACGAAACATGGCGTTTCGGCTGCAGACGTGGCGTTGGCCAGACCAAACGCCCCCGATCTCGCACCCCCAGACATCACAGACATCAGATTGCACCAGCGAGACGGGGCGGATGCAGTATGAAAGGCTAAAAGCAATACGTTGATTTTATACCCGGCCTTCTTTTGCGGTGCTTGCGCGATCCAGTAGTCTGTCTAGGTACCTTTCGCCCCCCCAAAAACGTCGTAAATCCGTAATACTGGGATATGCCAATCCCAACCCAGAACGCCCGCCATCCGACGGTTTACCCCTTTTCCGTGAATGAGTCAGTCCGCTCCCGTGCGATGTCTCTGTCTTTGTCCTACTCGGCTGCCGCTGCTGCCGCCGCAGCCAAGGCCGTCTCGATGGCCAGCACACCAGACATGCCTTGCTGAATCTCCCTGACAGCGGGCCCGTTCTCGTCGAGGGGAGTGAAAGGCAGACGTGGTACTGCGCACGATGCCTCTGCTGCACCGTGGAAGAAAGGCATGGCTGCCTTGACGCCGACGAAGCCGTAGCGAATGGCCGGCCAGTCTCCCTTGGCAACCTCGTGCTGGAGCTCACGGGCTTCCTTCAGCCGGCCGTCCTCGTACAGCTCGCAGATCTTGACACAGGCGCGGGGCGCTAGGTTCGCGAAGCCGCTGATGGTGCCGTGGCCTCCCACTACGAGACCCTGGAGGATGAAGTCGGCACTGCCGCCAGCCACAAAGAAGTCATCACGCCCACCACGGACCTTGGGGACCTCACCAACCATGCGGGCGAGCTTGCCGGTGTTGCCGCAAGTGAGCTTGACGCCGACGACACGCGGGTGGGCGGCTATGCGAAGGAGAGTGTCCGAGTCGAGGTCCACACCATTGGCAGCGGCCGGGAAGTTGTAGATTAGCACAGGCAGCGGCGACTGGTCAGCCACGCTGTGGAAGTAGGCGACGATTTGATCCTTGCTGATGATGCCGGCATAGTAGCCAGGTGGCAGAATGAGGGCGTGAGTGGCGCCGGCCTCCTTGGACTCGTGGCAGAGCTCGACCGTCTCGCGCAGAGACATGGCAGCGCAGCCGGCGATGATGGGAACGGGGACGTGGCTGTCAGTCTCGTGCCTAACGGTGTCGGCCACGACCTCGATGATGGTACGGCGCTCACGGCGGGACATGTGGACAGCCTCTCCGTTGGACCCGTGGATGACGAGCCCGCTAACGCCGGCAGCCATGAGACGGGCTGCCTGGCGTTGGGTGGCTGGCACATCCACCTCGTCCTGTGGCGTGAAGAAGGCCAGCATGGGGACGTAGACGCCGTTAGGGAGGCGTGTGACCGGTTGGAGGAGGTCCTCCGAGGACTGGTTGGGCGGCGTGATGGCGGCCATGGCGAGTATGTTGCGGGTGGGTGGATGATGTGTGCTGTGTGTGGCGCCCGTGGATGTCGATGGAGATGTGAGAGTGTTGGTCCAGATGATTTGTGTCAAGTTTGGAGAGAGACAAAAGCAACCGTCCACTCAAATTTATGAAGATTTGGGACTCGGGTAGTGGTGGCAGCCAGCTGGGAAAGGGTGGAAGGAAGGGGATGGACAGATGGAAGGTGCGGGCCAAAGACTGGAAACCTTGTGGTGAGAGATGACGATATGGCGGAGGGGCAGGGCAGATGGAAAGGCAGGGACCGCCATTCTTAAAGACGATCCCCAGGTGCAAACTATGGATGCCCCGGACAAAGGAGATGAACTACCACTTGCCCCAAACAAATGAGGCTC